GGATGAGGATGTACGGTGCGAAGTTAATTGTGTTAATGTGTACTGTGATAAATTGCTGTTTTTTTTATGAGTGACTTTGGCGCAATATGTAAATTTTTAACGTTAATCTTTATCCTTTTACCGAGAAATTCTACTTCGTTTAAAAGCTTCCCAAGTGAGTCGCATTTCATTTTCAAAAATATTCGTTGGTTTTCTTGCTCAAATTTGAATTCCCTACACGATTATAATTATCTTATGCCATAGACGTTAATCAACTGTCTGAACCGGTAAAGTTAACACGAACATTCCGTAAAGACGTGAATAGTTAAATGAATGACACGCGTTGATAGTCTCTTGCTATGTTATACACCCCTAAGTGTTATGTACAGCTTTGTATGACGGTATTTGCGGTATCTCGACTATAATAAAAGGAACATGGGGTAAAGTTTTACTTTCCCTTAACAAAACTTGGTCTGACGTGCGCGTCCTGAGAACTACAGTCAATATCAGGTCCGAAACTTAGTTATCTTTCGTTGGGGTGTAATTTATTTAAGCCACGCTACCCAAATCATATTTTGCTACAAAAATTTTAATGTTGTTGGTAGGAATTCCAATTTACTTTCCCCTCTTTATTAAAACTCTTTTTATAAAAAAGTCCAAACTAATTTTATTATTAAAAGAATTTTTAAACCTAATTAAGGAGTGCCCCTGAAAAGTTACAATCGCGCTCTAATCTTTAATAAGCGTCAGTGACAGATGCCGATTGCAATTAATCACCGGAACATGTGTAGATCTACGTATACATTCAATCGGGGGTAGCAATGCGGAACCGACGACTTTGTCACTCAAAAATCCTCGGTTGACGTTAAATTTGGCATTATCTTAACGCTCTCAGGCTTTAACGTTTCTTTTTTAATAAAATCCGTTGCCGAAAAAGATTAATTATCCGAGTTTTTTATTACAACCACCGAGCCGTCAAGAAAGCGAAATTATTGTATTTCCAGTCAGAAGGGGATTTTCGCTTTTACTTTCTAACAATTCACTTGCCGCTTATAAAAATCATATCTGGCACAGTCGGTGTGATTTATGGCATCTTATTTATAATACAGCACGATTTCCATTTTGATTTTGACGTCGCAATCGCCGTAATGGAACTGCTATTTGAAAAACCTTTCTCATTAAATCAGTACTTAAGATTATCATATCTGCTGTATTAGGTCTATTTCGTTTAAAATGTTTTTTACGTTAAGTTTATATGTAGACAAAACGCTCCCTTGGGTTCCGTTATCCGTACGGGGTGGAAAACTATTGATGGTTGTACTATAGAAGCTTAAAAAGTGATAAAAATGTTTCCATGAAAAATTGCTCGGTAAAAAAGAAGAAAAAGAGAAATCCGCGTTTTTAAGACGTGATGCTTTTCGGTAAGGAGGATGGAAGCAAGTAAAAAAAGATATTGATAATGAAAATGAAAAACAAAATTTTCTTGAAGAGCTTATTTTTTATCAGGTGAGCTAGGAAAGACCGACACACTGTATAATTGCAGTGCTTCTTTTGTTAAGTTGATTATTATAAGGATGGATTTTTCCAAGGATCAATTTTTCCGTGAAACGAGCATATTTTTGAAAGGTCTCAATATGATATGGTAGCTAGCGCTGCTTTGACTCAAACCCACCGTATGTATAAACGGCCAACATGGTTGTTAATTAAAAAGGGCTTGAGCTTTCTCACAGCGGCCCATTCGGTTTGTAACGGATGTTATAATTTATTTCTTCCTCTCCATCCTACCTCTGGTTAAACATCCTATATTTTAATTAAATTGGGAGTGGCTCTTGTTATGTAACTATATTAATATGCCTCGGCTGTTCATAGGTTAATAAACCTCTTCTGGCCTCTCAAAGAAAAGGGATAAAGGGTAAACAATAAGTCAATAATCTTTATTAAGACTTGAGATGGTTTCTTATTTACTTAAAAATATCGCCTTAGCTATAGTAAAACAACATTTCGTTGATTGATTTTTCGATGTGGAAATGAAGTCAACTGTACTCTGCACGGACCGGTCACAGAATCCGCGGATTATATTCCGTCGTGGGAACTGTCAAATATCTCGTTCTATTTTTGAACGAGCTGTCAAAATCTTCTTCAACGGTACGGCGGTGGCTTGTGGCGTTGATATCTTACACTAGGTATAATCTTCGTTCTTCGGAAACCACCCTGGTCTATCATATAGCTTAAATAGCTATTTGTAATTTGTGTATTAAGAGCGCAAAATGGTATCGGAGCGTGGCAATTTCTTGAAATCGACAATCAATTTGTGCTCGAATTACACACAAGATTTTTTCTACAATTGAGTAGTTCACATATTTCCAAAAATTTAAATTTTTCACTCAAATGAAAGATGTCATTTACTGATTTGCATTGGATACTCTCAGCAATGCATATTTGATATAGTTTATAATTGGGAGAGCGAGCGGTTTCTAGCGCATTTTTTAAGAATTAAAAACAATATTGTGCTATTGTGTGCGTTTAGTCCGTCCGTCCGTCCGGACACACTTCTGCCGTTTCGAACATTTTTGCAGTAGGTAGCCTATACCTTGAAGGTGTGGCAGACGTTATCAAATTTCGCTGTCTAAAAGCCCCCCCCCCCCACGAATTATTTCTGAAGATGCTGTATTTGAAAGTAAAACGTGCATAACTTTTATACACACGACAACCAATTGGTCTAAAATTTTGCATACGCATGCCTTAAACTTTAGAAAATGGGGGTGGGGGGTAAACACATCTTCTACCCTTCATGGTATTCTAATTAAAGGTCTCAACGAAAGAAACCGTTTTCTACCAACTACTGCCCTTCTTTCTGTCCTCTTTATTTCCAATTTATACTTGTTTAATTTAAGCGACAAAGTGACATTCCTCCAAAAAGATGACGTTTGCGTTGTCAAATACGAGCGCAAATGCCGAACCTGTGCCCCTTTTTTGGGAAACTTTTAATACCACAAACAGAAAGTTACGTTTGTTTCTAAGATACAGGGTGATTTGGGGATGTTATCATATCTTACTACCCATGTAAGTTTGAAAAAAGGTGAAAATTCTTATTTTAGATATTTTTACGTAGAATCTAGTGGCGTAGTATAACTGTTGGACCACCGTTTCTGAGATTTGGTATATTTTACCCTGTATATCTTACAGCCAATTTATTGCGTTCTTTTTTCTGATTATATGATACTCTACAAGCACAAACACTCTTTCCTTATTACAGTCATTATTTAATTTGAGGTATAATGTAATATATCTGGCAATTTTTGAATTTTACAGTTCCCTTTCTAGCTTTTGCATCTGTTACACCACATTTAGCGCCAATCTAATAATTCAAATTGCCTAAGGACGATGGTTCGTAAATTAATTAGCGGTGTATACGGAAAAGCAAATACAGGAAAGTGAAACAATATCCTCCCCCCCCCCCCCTGTAATTACTGAACTAGGAAGTAGTAAAAAGCTTACCTTGAAATAACACGAAGTGGTAGAATAAGTGTAGAAATGTAAAGAAAGATTAGGTAAAGTCTCATGACTTAATCAGGTGCTGTTCAGTGCAGCACATTTATTTAGCGACTGTTACTTGCACTTACTTCATTGATAGGATTGAAATTTCTGAAGTTGATAGTTCAGATAATGCTCATTGGTGATTGGAATTTTTCAGGTCGGCAGAAAGGTCTCGTATCAACCTGATAACGGCGTAAACCTGTACGGCCTTGCAGTTTTAATGCTCGTTTTAAATTAACAAAGGAATCCAAAAGCATCTAAACACATAATTATTTAATTGGGCATTCAGACGCAACAAAGATCATTGAAAAATCTTCACGGGAACGTTGGCAAACGGCGAATTCATTGTGGCTTTTGTTTACGGTAGGGGCGGCTGTAACATATCTCTAGAAATTAAATTAAATCTCTAACTCCTACATACTTCCCGCACTTTTCGTAACGAAGCGCCTTTAGATACCGGGTGTTCAACTGTTCATCTACATAGTGATCACAAAAATTAGTAACTTCAAAGCAAATAACGGTTGATTGGTTAGAGTAGGGTAATTGTTTTGTATTACTGGCTTGTCGACTTATTAGGGTGTTTGCTTCTATAAATTTGAATTTGCAAGGCCTTTGCGCAATGTGGTCGTACTTAAGGGGTTTGTTTTATTTGGTATAAACAGCGCGTACGTGATTTTCTTATCGATAATTTCGGTCCAATTACTATTATAGAAAATGCGAGGGCTTAACTAAAATTATTCTGTTTGGACGTCCGGGTTTATAGTTTTATATAGGTGAAATTTAAAGATATTAGTATCTACTGGATGTTTAGATAATTTAGGGTATCGTGTAAATATTTGCGCAAAACTTTTCCACGGGTGTGGGTAGCTTTCAGATTAATATAAAGCTGTTGATACAATTTAGGTTATATTTTAGAATTCGGGTAACTTTCACATATGTATTTTGTATTTTAACAATTCGCAGAAAGGCGATTTTAAAATTCAGTTGGGATGTTGTCGGTTTGTGTGATGGGTCGAGGGTTTTGTTCGGTTTTTGTGGAGGCGTAAAGTATGTGTTGAATTTGTTTTTGTATTTCCATAATTTTAGTTAGAAATTGAGGATGATTTCTTTTTGAAAGATTGGTTTTCGACCCAAAAATATAAGGAGGCCTCTTAGGTATGATTACCATTAAACGCGATTTAAGAACAGGGCATGCGAATAAGAATTATACCCCCTGATTGGGTAGAACACGATTTAGTGAACGGTTTTTTTCAGACTTGACCCCTCTATTCGAAAAGGTTGGATAGCCGAAAGAAAGCCTCGCAAGGAGCTTCAAATTATTATGCAATCATTTAGCATTAATGTGACGGGGTGCGGTTAGAGGGACAGAAGTTCATGAAAAAGCAATTGCAAAATTGGGAGATCCAGTCTACCTCATCTCACGACAGGTTGATACCCTGTGAGACCCTAAAGTTTGCTTACACTTGATGCAATAAGAAATAAAATTCGTCAGAAGATATTATAATATTTTCGCTAACACGAATACAATAAATAGATAAAATTGACGTCAACGTTCTTCGTTTCCCACGCCCCACCCTCTATAATATGTCAATAACAATAAAAACTCTTGAAACACCCACATTACAGCTTAGATTTTTGCTTCTCAAATATTTCCCGTATGGCTTTTCCATCAATTTTACCGGTCGGACCTTTTGGGATTTCATCCAAAAAGCGCACACCGCCCCGTAACCACCTTGTCGAAGACATTTGGCCTGAAAACCGAAAAATTAGTTCGTCGGCCTCTTGATGCCGACACTTACTTTCAACGTATTTCTTCACGTCTTCTTCGTCTAAATGTGCGCCTTTCTTTATGACTATAGCCGCCGCCGGTATTTCGCCCGCTTCGTCGTCTTTAATACCCGTAACGCCCGCGTCGAGAATGTCCGGGTGTTGCAGTAGTACTGCTTCAATTTCGGCGGGTGCAACCTACAATACATTTTAAAATCGACCAAAACTGTAGGAAAACCTGCCTGGAAGCCCTTGTACTTTATTAGTGATTTAATTCTGTCCACGATGAAAAAATTTCCATTCCCATCGTAATAGCCGATGTCGCCGGATCGCAACCACCCATTTGGGTCAATAATTGCGTCGGTAGCTGGGGCGTTGTTACAGTAGCCCTTCATTATCATGTCACCTTTGAAATACAATTCGCCAGTTCGATTGGGCCCCAAGTTTTCTCCAGTAGCTGTATCGACAACTTTTACGGCGTGAAAGGGGACAATTTTTCCGGTAGAGCCCGGTATGACGCCGGTATCTGGCGTAATTAACACTGCCGAGGTAGTTTCGGTGAGCCCGTATCCTTGCCTGATCTGGTTTAGCTTAAATCTGTACTGGAAGATAAGAGGATGGTCAAAAAACGCCGCAGACTCACCGTTTCCTAACCGCATCGCTGATTTGCTTGGATAAAGGTGCTCCACCCGAGGCGATCTCTTCCAAGTGCGACAGATCGTAGTTCTCGACGATTGCGCTTTTTGCGAACAAGGACATCAGGGTAGGCACTAGTAAAGTGCTTGCCACTTTATAATCTTGAAGGGATTGCAAAAAGAGCTTTTCATCAAACGTGGTTAATACGACGATTCGAAATCCGCAGGTCATGTATCCTAGACTTGTAAACATACCAAAGCTGTGTTGGAATGGTACCACCGTTAAAATGACAGTGGTCGGATTGATTTGGTTCCCAAAAGTCGGATCTCTGAAAAATTATAGCGTGGTTAACAAGCGCGATGCGAGTATTACGGACTTGCAGTGCGAAAATCGAGCAATGATGTTCTTATGGGTTATCATGACACCTTTAGACACGCCTGTTGTGCCAGATGAGTACATAACAAGTGCAACTTGGTTATCACGATCGAACGAATTGGGCTTGAAATCTCCAATATTTAAATTTGGATCGCAAAACTTCAAAATGAAGTTGTTTAGGCAAGGGAAATCTTGCCAGTCGGTGATGTCATCCAATATGACCACTGTATTAATGTAAGTTAGCCGGTGCTTCACTGTCTGAATGTTCTTTACGGCCCTTTTGGAACAGAAAACCACGCTAGGTTTCGTTATCTCAAAGTTATGAAGTAGTTCACCTAAAATATTGTTTTCTTTTCAGCAATACCGAGCACTTTACTTACGCTCGGTGTACTTGTCATTTATGGACGCAACGGTCACTCCGAGGTATAAGGCGGCGATCACTGGTAGAAAGAATTGCAAGCTGTTTTCGCTGCACACCGCAATTGTGCTGTTAATGTCGAGACCGTAGTTTTTGTAAGCAACCGCCAATCGAGTGGTTAATGTCAGTACGTCTTCATACAGCAGATTTTCTTTAGTATGCGCGTTCGTCTAAAAAATGTTTGAACAAGCTGCAAGCAATGTGCATAGGTACAAGCTTACCATAGCAATACAACCTGGTATCCTTGCATACTTTTTAAGTGCCCTAAATATCTCCTCGCCTGCCGTACCATCCGAAACAGGATAAAATGGTTTAGGTCCATACAAGATATTCTTATTTTCCATTCTTCGAATGGTGCACGATTCAACTTGGTTTGCTAAATGCACTTGTGTGACTTGCTAACAAATAAATACGAGTACAATTTCTAAAAATGCATTCGATAATCCCTACTACAATGTGTTTACCTACAATAATTTTAACGATACGCCGGGTCTGTCTTATTCACCTGTGGCGTTTCAACAATTCCGAACGAATGTAGTTGCACCAGTATTACTGGTTCATTATCTTGGAAGACTGCAATTAAAAAAGGACTGTCGCATAATAAATGCGCTTGGCTTGAGTGTTATCGGGTCCATGAACTCTTTCATAGTATTTTGGTATTGGTTAAATGAACGCGGCTATCAAAGGGCGAAAAACTATCTCTATGGAAGTTGGTGAAAAAATTAGCCCGATAACATATTCTTAGGCGCGTCTGACCTCAATACTAATGAAAGTGACTTTTTATTTAACATCCAAATTCCTATTTTGCTATTCCCGTATAGAGAAATCTAGAATCTAGCACCTTTGATTTTTGGTTGTTAGTCATTATCATAAACTGCGTTAATGAGACGACTTTTTTAAAGACACATGAATATCAAGGAAAACTGTGTAAATTTAGGTCAATTGCAGAAAATGCGTAAGCGTCATTTCACTCAACGAAACCAAGTGTAGTGTATGTAAAAAATCCGCCGAATCCGAAAATCATAGTCCCTATGGCCGCAAACTCCCGGAACATATTTAATTGTTATAAACAAAAAACGAAGATAAAATGGCAAAATATCGCTTCATTTCGCAATTGACTTTAATTATCTGAGGGAAAAAATGAATTTGGTATGGAACGTTCACTTTCGAATGTTATTGCTTTTTATTAAAAAATATAAAAAGGTATTCTATTATTACTAACTAAAATTTATCCGATCTTTTTGAAAATCCGTATTTGATCACTTCTGTTAATAACAAAACAATATGACAAACCCGATCACCATAAGTTTCATAGTTATTGATTAATTAAGTAAACAAATTAAAAAACGATCATTTGTCTTTCAAACTGGGTGACTCCCAGATCGTTCCCAATTTTTTTACAGATGGTGGAACCCTAAGACAACTATTTCCAAAATTGTCCCGATGATTCTTGCAAATGGACGGATTGTGGCATTTTTTCAGTTAACTAACAAATGGAATAACTGCCGAAATAAAGCAAGAAATGTAACTATATATAGGCTTTTGGCACTCTGATTAATAAAAAATGTACATTTTGGTCAAATAGAAGCATAAAAAAGTTCACGCTTTAAAGAATCGTTTGATGCGACCCGATTTGCAAAAAGCAAAAAAAAACAAGCCCAAAATCAAAAGCTGATTTCTCGGATTTTAGTCCAGGAAACGAAACTTAAAATATAGTCCAGTATGCGGAGTAGGGCATGTCCATGAACCTAGCAGAGCAAGGTCAGCAGAACACACACAATTAAATGCTCCTTTTTTTTAAATTATTACATGTCATGCCAGGTTCATACGAATTCAGCAGAACACTACTTCAAAAAACCAAGAAAATGAAAAGTGAACTATCATTAGGTGCTAATTAGGTACCCTATTCCCAAATTAAATGCTCCTTTTTTTTTAAATTATTACAAGTTCTGCCAGTTTCATATGAACTCGGCAGAACACTACCTTTAAAACTCAAGACAATGAAAAGTGAACTAACCATAATTAGGTGCTAAGTAGGTGCTAATTAAGTGCCCTATTCCCGAATTAAATGCTCCTTTTTTTTTAAATTATTACATGTCTTGCCCGGTTCATACGAACTCAGCAGAACACTACCTCAAAAAACCAATAAAATGAAAAGTGAGCTAACTATAATTAGGTGCTAATTAAGTACCCTATTCCCAAATTAAATGCTCCTTTTTTTTTAAATTATTACAAGTTCTGCCAGTTTCATATGAACTCGGCAGAACACTACCTTTAAAACTCAAGACAATGAAAAGTGAACTAACCATAATTAGGTGCTAAGTAGGTGCTAATTAAGTGCCCTATTCCCGAATTAAATGCTCCTTTTTTTTTAAATTATTACATGTCTTGCCCGGTTCATACGAACTCAGCAGAACACTACCTCAAAAAACCAATAAAATGAAAAGTGAGCTAACTATAATTAGGTGCTAATTAAGTACCCTATTCCCAAATTAAATGCTCCTTTTTTTTTAAATTATTACAAGTTCTGCCAGTTTCATATGAACTCGGCAGAACACTACCTTTAAACCTCAAGACAATGAAAAGTGAACTAACTATAATTAGGTGCTAATTGGGTGTTCATTAAGTGCCCTATCCCCGAATTAAATGCTCCTTTTTTTTTAATTATTACAAGTTCTGCCAGGTTCATATGAACTCGGCAGAACACTACCTTAAAAACCCAAGAAAATGAGTAGCGAACTAACTATAATTAGGTGCTAATTAAGCGCCCTATTTCCCAATTAAATGTTCCTTTTTTTTTTAAATTATGACATGTTCCTCCAGGTTCATATAAACTGAACGTTATGAGGAAATTACTGCCTCCCAAAAAGATGTTGTGTACTGTCACTTTTCGTCATTCATTGCATTTTAATCCTTCTGGAAGAAAAAATGACGCTTTAGACCCTTAAACGAATGACAAAACACGTTCATTTGGTCCACGGAGTAGGTACAAAAAAAAAACTTTATATTATATTTATTTACTTTTATATTCCAAGTGCCTGTAGGTATATTAAATTTCATTTAAATGCTTTCGTAAATAAGAAAGTTGGCATTGCGCATGCGCAAAACAATATTTTTAAAACGTTGTCAGTTTTACTAATATTCGTAGTGTCATAGTTTCATTTAAATACCTTCATAAATAAAAAACACATGCGTTAAACGAAATTTTTGACACTGCGCATGCGCAAAACCACAAAATTGGGTACGCACGGGATCCTTGGACCAAGCCCTTTCAATTTCGCAGTTACTAATTTTTAATTTCATTTGATCTTAAGACAATATTCAAGAATTCAGTTTTTAATATCTTTAGTACCTATATTTTGCTTAAAGAGCTTTTTAATTCCCAGTCAATTTTCACATGTTGAATAGGCTAAATGTAAAATTATAGAAATCTTGAATTCTTGATATTTTTATCATACTTTGTTACCTACATGTTTTAGGTCGCGGATCGCAAAATGAAGAGAAGCCAAGATCTTTTGAGAGTGTATCTCGACGACGTACAAAGATAAAATGGTACAGCGTAGTGAAGCTATTTCAACACATTTAACATTTCATAAAAATGAGCAGGGCAGGGCGACATAAATGTGACTTGCACTTATAAGGAGCATTTAATTCGGGAATAGGGCATTTAAATAGCACCTAATTAGCACCTAATTATGCAATATGTTTGATTGTATTCTGCTGACCTTGCTCTGCTAGGTTCATGGGCATGAGAACGGCCGTTTCCTGCAAAAGGTGGTGTAAACGACTTTATCATTTTAAGTGGTCCATTTGGGTCCAAATAACATGTATTTGAAGAGTGCACACCAATTTTTTTCCCGGCGCAACTTTTGGCAGCCACCATTTTCAGTTTTTCGCTTAAAACTCGAAAACGGTCCAAATTTTATGAATAACACTTCTTCAATAAATTAAAGAAGACACAATTCAGCGCCGATCAAAAGAATAATAGAACAATAGAAAAATTTTTACAAGCGATCAAAGAAATCCCTTAAGCTCCCCGTCAATTCCTGATGGAGATCCACGGAAATCCCTGAAATCGGATAAAATTCCTTATAAATCCTCAGAAATCCTTTCGAAATCTTCTTAAATTCTTCCCCATACTTGCCTTTGACACTCCATTCCAATCCTTTACTGCCGCCGCATTCATATAGACGCTTTGTCACGCACCTTCTCACAGGTATTATAAATTAATAACAAAACAAGAGAGGGATAATAATAATAATAATAATAATAATAATATTTGCGATTGGTATATTTCAAATACTGCGTGGCAATATTGGAGTAATAGTCAGGAAAATGACACGTTACTGGCGAGGAAATATTGAAGTGCAAGAGAATTTTAATTTCCGAGTCAAGTAATCTCATTTTACTGACGAGTTTTGTATTAAATTTTACCCGAAATCGTATTTTAACATAAAATTTCAATTTTCATATTATAGAACTTTTGATTAATGCCCATCTGTCATTGATGACTGGAGTCATTATTCATTATAGACAGGTGCCGCAGGAAAAGTGACAAGGGGCAGGAAAAGTAGACTGGTCTGGCTCCGTTATGGAAACTAACATTTCCCTGACATAAAGTAGGCATGAAAATGAAGGTTTCATGACGATTTTGGGTAAAACAATTAGAAGCTAAAGTTTATTTTTGAACATTTTTGAACGAGCCAAAAAAAGCAATTTAGTAACAAAATGCAATTGGAACGAAGACAAGGAAAGTCAAATTTTGACTTTTTCCATGTAAGAATGAAAATTAATTTAGAACGCAGTCTCATGGGTAAAAAAATTGTAGTCATATTTGATCAGGAACGGCTTCATTCGATACGGCAAAACAATTATTATTGAAAGGTAAAAGTGACCGCATGTGCAGATAAGGGCATCAGGTGAGTTAATATCTGCCTACTTACGTTACCGCCCCTCCATCAAAAATATAACTTATGATCAAATAATTCGATCGTGTTAACGCGAAGTGCAGTGCATATTGTGCGGAATGGTCTCCAAATTTTCAAATGGTTTGAAGGAGAGTGCCTAGTACCGAAAGCAAGAAAGCGAAGGGTGAGTTTTGACAAACACAAATTAGGTACCGCGTAAAATGCAGGAAGTAATTTGGATTTCTACATTTAAACATTAGATTTTGGAGTTGGGCAATAGGTAAAGTGTGACTAAATATTGTGTACGGAAATTTACCTCAACACATGTAACTGATGCCGTTAGTTTCAAGCAATCATTTTCCAAATCAAAAATTTATACACGACAAATACAATCATCTTATCTATCAAAGTCTAAAATTGGAAACACATGTGTAGTCGATTGCGTCGGCTGCGTCGGCATTTTAAACAGGTGTTTAGAAGCCTGTTGATAATTTCATTCTTAACAAAAAC